TGGGGTACAAGGCCATGGCGTCCGCCTTCCAAAGCAGCCATTTTCTCCAGGGGAACCGATCTCTGCCACCTAGAGACCAGTTGTAACAGTGGGAGACCTCCAGCTACCAGACCACCTGGAGGCTGGCAACCCTTTCACCCAGGGGTCATTTCGTAGAAAAAGAGCTAGGGGAACTCATTAACATAACTCATTAGCATATGCCACACCCCCTGACATCAGGCCAGCGGGAGTGCAAGGAAGCCCTGCCAAGGCCCTCCCTGGCCCCAGGCAGGCAGGGGTGGGGAGAGGCGGGGGGGAAGCAAACTACCCTCCCTCTTCTCCTGCCTCCTCCTGGCTGAATGAGGGCTGGAAGCGGGGCGGCCGGAAGCGGGGGGCGGGGCTTCGTCATGTGCCCCACCCCCCATACCTCACCCGGGGGAACTGCGATCCCCCGCGTTCCCCCCCGAAATGACCTCTGCTTTCACCAAGGAAGACGCTGCAGAGGAAGGCAGCAGCAACCCACCTCTGCTTCTCACTTGCCTTGAAAGTCCCTTGCTGGGGTTACCACAAGTCAGCGGCGACTTGATGGAGTTTTATGCACACATAAGCTTCTGTTGAAGGGGCAAGACAGTTTCCCCCCCTCGTGCTTGCTGGCAGTGGCAACCCTATACTGGGATTGAAGCCTCCCCTATACCAGCCCAACCAGTGTCTTCCTGCTGTTGTCTGCTCTTGCAAGTGCTGGAAACAGCCAGCAGAGGACAGCCCGTAACCAGCATCCACCCATCGTATCCAAACACACTACAGGTTGGCAGGGGGAAAGTCTCTGATTCTGGACTTTCGCTACAGGGGGGCTGGACGGAGTCCCATGGGAAAATGAGCCTCCCAGAGTTGGCACGGCACCACCGGGAATCCCGCCAGCCCTGGAGAGCAACAATAGCAGATGTGGCCAAACTATCAGGGTTGCTTGTGCCCAATCCCCAGACCCACTGCAGTGACCAGCAATGTCTGAGATCTCTCTATTTTTCACTCTAAAATAATCTTCCAACCTATGCTGGTCAGTTGCACACCTTAGCTAGGAAGGCCTGGGTTCCAATGCTGACGGTGCCACAAAGACCCTGAAAGTCAATCCACATTCCAGAGCGGCCAAGTTTCCCACTTGTATACCAAGCATGAAGGCAAGATGCTCATCTCTCAACACTTAACTTTTATCTTGTTTCAAGCATGCCAAGCACTGCCCATGTGTTATCTTAGAATTCTTTCTGACACTGTTATCTCCGTATATTGCAAATGGCACCGTGTGTGTTTGTGTGTGTGTGTGATTGAGACTGAACAATAGGGGAGGTTGCATAAGACCACCTGAGAAGTCCATGGCTGAGCTTCCCAGTTTGTTGCCCATTTCCCATCTTAACTAGAGTGTTACTTGGTTAAAAATAGGGCTTTTTTGGTAGAAAAAGCTCAGCAGGAGAACTCATTAGCATAATAGGCCACACCCAGTAGCAGCAACTCATTAGCATATTAGGCCACACACCCGTGTTACCAGAAGTGTGGTCATCCAGCCACACCCACCTTTTGCTTCTTATTCTGTTTATCTTGTTTGTAGTCAAAACCCAGGGATTTTTTTGAAGCAGGAACTCCTTTGTACACATGCAGAAGGTAACAGGTTCAAACCGCGGCATCTCCAGTTAAAAGGGTCAGATGGCTGAAGATGGGAAAGAGGCCTAACACCTTGGAGAGCCGCTGCCAGTCCAATTAGACGATACTTGGCAGACCAAGTGCTTGACTCAGCAGGGCTTTTTTTGTAAACAGTCTTCCTTGGTGGTTTTCCTTCCCAGTGAGAGCCAGCATGGCACAGTGGTTAAGAGCGGTGGACTCTAATCTGGAGAACTGGATTCGATTCTGCACTCTTCCACATGAAGCCAGCTGGGTGACCTTGGGTCAGTCACAACTCTTTCAGAGCTCTCTCAGTCCTCCCCCCAATAAGTCCAGGTCCAGCTTGCCACTTTAGTGATGCATAACGCTAAACCAGGGGTGGCCAAACTTGCTTAATGTAAGAGCCACATAGAATAAATAGATGTTTGAGAGCCGCAAATATTACACACGTTTTTATTGAAAAATATGCAAAACTTGTTTTTTATTAACGTTAAATGAGACTGCCGGAAATAAAAACAAAAGGGGTAAAAACAGATATTGATAATGATATTTATTTGTCCAAAGGCATTTTTTTGTTTGCTAATGATATTTATTTGTCTAAGAGAGAGAGAGAGGTAGAATTAAAGGAAAGAGGTGGGAAGGAAGGAAGGAAGGAAGGAAGGAAGGAAGGAAGGAAGGAAGGAAGGAAGGAAAAAGAGAGGGGGAGGGAAGGAGAGGTGGAAAGAAACTAACTTTAAATGCGTCCTCCAAGCCCACCCCCCACCCCATGCCAGCTGACTTGGCTTGGAGAAGGGATTTAAAGAGACAAATGCCTTCTCCAAGCTGGCTGGGGGGGGGGCTTTGAGAATGCATTTTTCTCTGCTCGCCCCCACCTCCAGCCTACCCAGGGAGGAGAACACTGACTGGAGAAGGGGAGACTGACTGGGGAGGCCTGCCTCCCCTTCGCTTCCCCAGCCACCCTGCCGGGAGCCACACAATATGTGTGAAAGAGCCGCAGTTTGGCCACCCCTGCGTTAAAGGGCTAGAACTTAAGGCTGCCAGGCAATTTTAGGATTTCCCGGCTATACTACACACATTGACATACGATAATAATAATAATTATTGATTAGTTCCCTTCCCAGTACTGACCCTGCTTTGTTCCTGGGCTTCCTTGGCTGCTTCCCATCCAGGCACCCATTGGGGCCAATTCTGATGATATCTGGCTGGCCTGGGCCGTTCAGGTCAGGGATAAGATTGGGCTGGTCTCGGCTATTAGGCTATTCCAGGGACTTTCTAACCACTGTGTTTACACTCTATCTTTGTAAAACCGCCTGCACTCCCGTCATTTTGGTGATGATGTCTCATTTTGAGAAAGGCCACCCTGTAGTACAGTATCATTGCCACTCCTGCTTGGGATTGTCACCTTTTCCCCAGCACTTATGTTTCCCTCCGCAACCTATGAGGGCTACACGGAACAGGCATGGAGGAACAGCCGTGCAGAAAGCGCCCTGGCTGAATGTACGTATATAGAAAATGTACAGAATTTCTGCATCTCATGTACCTGTTAGGCACAAAGGTGGTAGTGGGGATGGTACAAGTAAACTCCAGGTGTCATAATTATTGCTGAGTTTTGAATTTAATGTAACGGGAATAAACTTGGTTGCAATTTCCCAGCAACATTTCAGAATTCAGATCTGACACCTGAATTTCAAACAAGCTTTTATTCTAGACTATACCATCTGCTTTTTCTTGATGTCAGGTTCTCATAACACCTCCCTGCCCCTAACATATGGGCAGAGCAGGATGGGTACAGTAATGGAATGGTTATTGTGTTGGGATTTACCCTTGAGAACTTGAGAGACCAGAGTTCGAATCCTTGCTCAACCATCAAGTTGATTGTGTGTCCCTGGGCCAGTCACCTCTCTTAGGCTAACCTCGTGGGTTTGTTGTGTAGCTAATGCCTGAACATTAAGAGCAGCATACAAGACCCTGTGGAGAGTTGCCCCCATTTACTTACATGAGGAGAGGGGGCCCTTTCCTGAGCTTTCAGATTTTCTTAAGATTTTCTTAAGATTTAATTCCTGTTATCACTCCAAGATTCATATGTCCATATTGTGCTATTGCAAGCTCCTGAAATTCAACATAAATATGTCCAGTTGACGGCCATTTCTTATAATTGGATAAAACTGTTGTTTTAGTTGGGAGATATTTTCTTCCTCTTTTAATCCAGTGATTCTGCATTTTTATTCAGATATGTAGTTGCACTTCATAATACTGCATTATAATTCCTTCGGCTTTATAAACAACAAACTTGGAATTCACATCCACTTGCAATTCAGTGAGAGGAGCTGTTGATTAATACCGAGGCAACTGGGACCAAAGGCAACTTGCTAAATTGAGTGTACCTTATACACTTTAGTTTTCAGATTTGGATGGGTGGAATCTAAAATCCCTAATGCAACGTTAGGGATAATGCTGAAAACAGCTCAAATCAGAAGCGTTAAAAAAAAATCTGATTTTCAAAACAATTTCCGACTAGGGGAATTCACCGTAGCGCCCCCACGCCTGGACAATTCTTAAAGGAGATAGCAACAAAGGGTGGTCCCAGGTGTTACTTTTTTTGAAAGTCAAATTATGCCTAGGGAGCCTCTGCCGAGAGCCTGAGATATTTTTACCCATCTCACTACGGCGGGGTATCGCGCTGTGTGGTCTGCCCGTCGCCGCCGCCGGGGCTCCAGCAGGCTTTTGGCACCGATGCGGCCTTTCGCAGCTTTCTTCCTCCCTCGTTCCCCCTCCTCTCCCTCCCGCTCCCCCCTTTAAGACCCTCCCCCTCCGACCCCACCCCTTCCCTAGCACGCCCCGTCCGGGCCCCGCTGCGCTCACTGCCCCGGCATCATGTCCCGCTCGGAGGAGGTCAATCGGCTGACGGAGAATGTCTATCGGGTGAGCGGCGCCTCTCTCTGGGCCCCCCGGTCCCCCCTTCCCCCGGCCCTCTCTCGCTCTTGCTGCCTCCCCGGCGATCCCTCCATGCAGCCGCATTTCTACCTCGCAAGCCCCATCTGCTTCCTCCTTCCCAGCCCAGCACTTTCCTCCCTTCGCCCCCCGCCTTCATCCCTCGATTCCTTCTTCTTCATCCTCCTTCTCCCCCTAACAGTGAGTGTCTCCCTCCCAGACTGATGCGGCTTCCCTTCTTCCCATCCACCACTCCGGCCCTGCATCCTGCCCATCATCTGTTGTTGCACACACACACACACACACCCAAGCCTCGTTTGCTTTTTGGCTATAACTGCTGGGCTGCTCTCCCCCTCCCCGCCGCCCTTCCACCTCCCAAAGATCTGTTGAAAAACAGAGCCCGTAAAAAGGAGGGAGGGTGAAAGGGGGTTCCAGCAACTCCCCCCCCCCCAATCGCCAGCATTTTTCATTGGAAGGTTAAGCAAACATTAATATCAGGACTTAGTTATTTTCTTCTCTCCACCCCTGCAAAGAAAAACAAAACAAAACAAAAAAAACCACCCATATCTAATCAAAACAGAAGTTCTCTGAGTGGATTAAAAGTTTTATTCCTCTTTGAGATAACTGGCACATTCCATTGTTTAGAGGATTTACAAAGTGAAACGCACCTCTCTCTCTCTCTCTCTGGGTGTGCACTGTTCTTTTATTAGACTTTAAACTTGCTCCATATATACATATGCCCTACTGTTTTATTAGACTAATTCCACTGTGGATTTGGGCGTGGATCTGGAAAACTTAGGAAAAGTTTGTCAAAAGTTCTTTTTTTTTTTGCTTCCGTTCCTGCCTTGGAAAGAAAAACACAGACTTTCTTTGACGGGCTACGAGAGGGGTTGGGGCCAGATTTGGACATTTTTTGGCTCCTGGCTTTTGAATGAAATCTGCAGCCACCCATTTTTCTGGTTAGTTTCTGCTCAAAGCTGGAAGGCTTCTGAAGTCCTTTATTTCTCGGTCTCTCTCCGGTATGGAAATGAAGCAAACACCGTGCCAAATCTTGGCCTCGGCAGACTTGGCCGGGAGACGAAGAGGGAAACTTAACCCGTTCTTTCCCCCCCTGCTCTGGCTTGTTGGAGATGTGGAGCGCCCCCCCCCCCCAAAAAAAAATCTTGCCTCCAACTGGATGGGATATTCTGTTCTTATCCCGAGAGGAAACATGCACATCGCCCCAGTTCCTGTGTTCTGGCTGTCTTCTTCGCTGAGGCACATCTGACAGATGTTTAAGCAGACACGGAGAAGGAGACATTGTGGTGTTGTGGTTGGGGAAGGGGGGGGGGAGGTTGAAGGGAGACCTGGGCTCTGCGAAGTCTGGGCCGCAAAGGGGAGCTTTGCCTGTTGCGAACTTTCCGAGAAATTGGGGGGTTTATGCCTGTCAGAGTTTGGGAGGCCATTGAAAGGTGCCTGGTAGTGTTTTTTTCACTCAGGATGCCGGGCAAGCATTTCTCCATGTTGGTTTGGATGCATGCGTGAATGTCATTCATGTGGAATGCAAAACGGAACCGGGGCCATTTTAAAATTGGATGTGTTTACTTTTCACGCGACAGGATTTTAAAAATGTGTTTGGTTTTTGATAACAGTGAGATCAAGGTGCATGGTACTTGGCAGGGCCTAGGAAGAGAAGTCCCTGCCCTCAGGAGCTTGCAAGTCTCAAAGAAATGCCTTCTGGGAGTTTACGACACAGTAAATCTTTCAGGTGCCACAGGAGTCCTTTGTGTTGCTGGCACAGCCGCTCTCTGGAATGGTGTTAGTTTGTAACACCAAAATGAAACAGAAATCCAGTAGCACCTTATATACTAACACAATTTGAACACTCTCTTCTTTGGGGTGTGCAGTCTGTTGCTCTCTGACTCACAAAAGCTCCTACTGGGATAAATTATGTAAACTATAAGGTGCCACTGGACTCCTGTTTTATCTGGAGTTTGACAATCTAAAAATCAACATTGGGGAGATAACAAAGAGAAAAGTGGGTAACCCAGAGACAGAGATGTAGAGATGTGTGCATTTCAGGTCCAGGAACGTTTGGCCACTTTTCAGTAGGGGATGCAGACGAAGGTGGCTTCACGGAAAGCTGAATTCTGAACAGGGACTCGAAGGAAATGAGAGAGGGGGCGACACTGGGATGGCATTCCAGGCATAAGCAGGGGAAAGCAAAAAGCATTTCTAGTATCAGGTGTGAAAATGCCCTTTGGCACTGTGATCTGCTATATACCACAATACACATCCTTTGGCCCACCCTCTTTCCTCTGTGGGACCCCAGTCCATCTGTCCTTCCTCCAGGGGTCATTTCCTGCAAGAGCGCACAGGAGCAGAGCTCCGTTAGTAAAGAGCCCAGGGGGTGGGCACATGCAACAAGCCCCGCCTCCTGCTCCCAGCAGCCCTCAGTCTGAGCAAGAAGCAGGCAGGTAAGCTGCAGAGCCCCACCCCCCGGCCCCCCAGTCCGAAACAGTCCAGTGGCACCTTTAAGACCGAGTTTTATTTAGGTACAAGCTCTCCCTCCTCTGCGAGGACAGATCTGCACGTCCCTCCCCCCCAATAGCTAGCAATCACAAACAGTCCAGCGGAGCCTGAGCAGTGGGTGTTGCCTTCTGACACACTTCTGGTGATGTCAGGGGGTGTGGCATATGCAAATGAGTTATGCTAATGAGGTCCTGAACCTCTTTTTCTACGAAATGACCCCTGCCTTCCTCCTATACGTCTCTCCTATCCATGTATTGCTCACTCACTCCCCCTTCATTCTCACCCCACCGGCAGCCCTTTGCCCACCTTCCTCCCATCACACCTTCCCCCTCTTCTCTCTCTTTCACCCCCACCCCATCATACGTCTTAATTGGCTGAAAATATAAGATAGGAAGTTCAGATCTCGGGTGCATGCTGAGCTCCCTTGGTGGCCTGTGGCAAAGGACTCCTCTGTCTGACTTAGCGGTCCCACCTTAGGGCTGCCAACTTCCAGGTGGCGGCTGGAGATTTCCCACTATCAAAACTGCTCTCCAGTTGACAGAGATCCGTGTACTTGGGGGAAATTGGTGCTTTGGAAGGCATACTCTATGGCATTATACCCCATTGAAGTCCCCCCCTCCCCAAACCCTGCCCTCCTCACCATCCACCCCCAAAATCACCAGGTATTTCCCAACCCAGAGCTGGGAACCCTATCGCACCTTGAGGCATGGGGCTCTTGTAAGAACTGCTGAGTTAATGCATGTGAAATGTTTTAAGAGATTGTGAAGCCAACGCCAAGGCACCACGTATAAAAACTTAGAAGTATGTAGTTGAGGAATGCCCGGCCCAGGGAGGTCCATATCTCTCTGTCCTTGCCAGAGTTTCACCAGTGGGTGCAAATTGTTCTCTTTTTGGCAAACGTTTGTAGGTTAGAAAGAAGGCTGTATTATGCAACATTGGCCGCAGATGGTGCTTGTTGATGAGTGGTTGATTTTAATGATGCCAGATTTGTTTAGCTGAATTTTAAAGTTGCTAGTGTTGGTTGTTTTATCTGCTGGTTTTATTGATTTCTGTCTTCCTTTGTTGTGGTTATTATATTGTTTATAACATCTGTGACAATTCACCCTGGGGAATCCTGTATAGGACGGAAACACAGGAGTTTGAAAAAAATTATTTCCATAAAGTGATAAATATCTGTTCATCTTCTCAGCCTTCTCTGCATCCATTGGTGGCGATCTTTATCTCTCGTTCTTGCCTCCATATCTACACGTGCCAGTCTGTACAGTTGCAGCCATACAAATGTTTATTCAGCCTCGGCTGGCCAACTGGAATAGTGTTTTTTTGGAGCATCCGCCTGTCATCATTTTTCTTTACTCCAGTCTTTCCTGAAAGATCACAGGCCAAGTGGGTTTGAGTGCCATGTGGAAAGGAATGTGCACATTTTTTAAAAAACAATTTTATTAGGATATAATAATAAGTAAAATTTTACGTCATATAACAAACTTTTCATATCCTTTTATCCAAATACCTCCCCCCCCCCTTCTGACTTCCCACAGTGCTCAAACCTCTATTACGTTCTTGAATTTTTTTCTCTTTTTCCAATTCTTTAACAACATAATTCTTTCAGGTAACGTATCTTTTTATAAAGTGCACATTTTTAAAGCTGCCATCCAAATCAGTGCCGTTTTATTGCTGTCATCCTTCACTACACCACCCAAGGACTCTTTTCCAGCTTAAAAAAAAAAATGGTGCTAGCAGCTGCCATTTATAAAAAAAAAACAGTGGGAAAATGGCATGTGGGGGGGGGACATGAATACCAGTGTTAGGAGCAAATGTGTGGTAAAGGCATGGGCCTCTATGTTGTATTTGTAGGCCCTCTGTGGCATTCTGATTTTCCTCACGCACTCCCGCTGGCCTTGCAGGTCCACCGCCAGGCCCCTGATGTCAGGGGGTGTGGCATATGCTAATGAGTTATGCTAATGAGTTCCCCTAGCTCTTTTTCTACGAAATGACCCCTGGTTAGGAGCAAATGTGTGGGAAAGGCATGGGCCTCTATGTTGTATTTGTAGGCCCTCTGTGGCATTCTGATTTTCCTCACTTGTGTGTCCCTATTGCTTCAGGGTTCCCCCTAGGGAGTAAAACACATGTGGAAAGGGGGGGGGACTCAAAGCAGTAGGGACAAGTGAGTGACAAAAACGAGAATGTGGAAGAGCCACTTTCAATCCACTTTCAATGTACTTTCCAACTGGATTTTGCCAGTTCCGACAGTAAAATCCAGTTAGAAAGTGTACTGAAAGTAAATTGAAAGTGAATTATTTAGTGTGTGTGAATGCAGCCTGGAAGTGTCTGGTTGGTTGCCTGTAAACAATGATGCCAGGCTGTTTGGAAGCTAAGTAGGCTCAACCCTGGCTAGTGTTTAGAAGGTAGAGCTCCAAGGAATACCAGGGTTGTGACACAGAGGCAGGCCATGGCAAACCACCCCTGAATGTCTCTTGCCTTGAAAACCCTACAGGGTAAGTCTGCTGTGATTTGACAGTCGTTTCCACCACCACACGTGTGGTCAGATCCAGTATGGCTACATTCTTAAGTCAGGTCTATAAACCTGCCTCCTCCCCATCCAACCTCTGAGTCCTCTAGTCAGTCCATCCATCCTGTCTACATTTCACCCATCCCTCTGTCCCTTGTCTGTCTGTCCGTCTGCCATTTTCTTGGTGACCGATTTTCTTGGTGACCGAAACATGTTCAAGTACTGTGTCTAGAAAATACAGGCAAAATTTACTGCTAAGAACTAGCCAAAGCTAAGTCCATTTAATTCCCATTCATTTTCATGGGAAAGTTAAACATACACGTAAAATCTTTAAATCAGGGGGAGCGGGGGGCATAAAAGCATTTTGCTTTGGATGGATCATGCTGCAAATATAGATATTCTTCTCTCTTGTAACTAGGCGATTCTGGACCAATTCAACCCCAGTCTAAGGAATTTTGTTACCATGGGAAAGAACTATCAGAAAGCACTCTCAGGTAACGAGATACGCCACTCCATCCCTTGACCTCAGGTCAGGTCAAAGTTTATGCGTCTTTAAAAAGAAAAGTCTGTGTGTGCGTGCGTGCCCACGGGCGCATGTTACAAGTTCATTAATCAATAGTGCATCCCCACCACCACCTTTTGCAGGAGTAACGGTGGCAGCCAAAGGTTATTTTGATGCCTTAGTGAAACTCGGGGAGTTGGCCAGCGACAGCCAAGGATCCAAGGAACTGGGTAAGTTAAATTTCTCCCTTTGAACTGCTTTTATTTACATTGGCTTACCAGGGCTGGTTCCAGGTTTGGAGGGACCCCAGGCAGAGAGTTCCTAGGGCCCCCTCCTCTCTTCTACCCCTCATCAGCCCCCCACACCCTCCTTCCCTTCCCCCCCACCTGCGTGCCTCCCAAGTGTCTTTGTGCCTTTCCCCTGCCCTCTTGGGAGCTCTCCCACGGCCCATACTCACTGCTGCCTGCAGCCCTTTCCCCAGTGGCACTGAACAGTGTGTATAGCTGGGAGTGTGGTGGAGCACCAGCAAATGGGGGGGGGGGTTCTTGACAGCAGTGGGCCCTGCCAGAATCCCTGGTCTCTCCCAGCTGCCCCATCTCCAGGTATGCTGACGCCAGCCCTTGCTTAGACCCACCCTGGAGTTTTCCCATGCAGGATGGATTTCCCTCCTTGTGGAATGCAGCTTTCTCACCTTCCACCTGTCATGGCAGCTTGAAATGCCCTCCCCCAGTCCTGTTCCTGGGGGGGTTCCCTGTCCTCTAGGAGAAGGATTGGGTGGGGGGGATTTCAGGCTATCATGGGAGGAGGAAACCGAAGCCAAGAAAGTTGTTCTTTGCAAGCAGAAATTCTTCCACCTGTGGAAAGACTTGGTGGGATCAAAGCCTAAAGGGTTATCCTGTCCTTCTCCCAAGGGGCTCAGGGCAACATACGTAGTCTACGCTTCTCCCTTTTATCCTCACAACACTCCTGTGAGGTGAGCTAGGCTAAGGGAGAGCAACTGTCCCATGACCACCTTCCAAACAGAACAGGGTTTTGAATTCTGGTCCCTGTAGTTCTAGTCCAACACTACTAGAGTGAAATCTCTTTCTCTCGGTTGTCTCCTGAGAAGAAGAGGACCTTATATCCCATTCTGCTCCTCTCTAGAGAGCATTTGCATGCAAATATAGTTTACATGGATGCATCTGCCCAAAAAAGAAAGAAAGAATTTGATGGTGTTATCAAATTAGGATTTTGAGAACGTCTTGAAAGAGGAGACTCTGGAGTGTATGTAACCAGCATCGCAATGCAAACACATCCTTTTGCCTCTTACACAAAACCTGGCAGGAGTCACATGGGACGGACTGATCATGTGGCTACTATACACACCGCTGACTCTCTGCCCCTACCCCCCCAAAAAGTCTGAGCCATTGACACTGGCACAGCACTCATGTGATGCTGATTAACCCATGCTATTCCACTCTTCAAACATTACCAGAATGTCATGGGATCAGAGGTAACCACACAGTTCTGGTAACATATGAATTGCACCCTTGAGACAGTTCACGTGTGCAGCGGAATGGTGTGGTAGGTGCTTTTTCTGGGTTGCATTGTTTCAAGGCAGCAGATGAGGGCGGTTTAGGGTTTGCATGCCTAAATGCTCCCATGTGACAAGACCAAAAAAAAGCAGCACATCAGAGAGCAGACAGCCCTTCCTCCTGTTCTCTTAGCTTCTCGTTTGCAGGAATTTTTTGTTTCCATGGGTTGTTATCCAAACCAGCACCACACACTCACTCTGCAATGTGAAATGGGACCTTTCAAGAAAAACCTTGATTGCACCTAGGACCATATGCAAGTTTTTTTGGGGGGGAGTGGGGTTGAGGTTTTTAGCACTAGCAAATGTGCTATTTATATTTACGTCTGGGACCATTGAACAATCTAGGTGGTAATCATCCACCTTGAACCAATTAATTGATTATATTAAAATAAATGTGGACGTTACCCCAAAGAAGTCAATTTTTTGGAGGTAGTAAAGGGAACTTAGAATGCAGTGAACGGAAGCGCCCAATCATTGTTAGAAAGATGGATCATCGTAATTTTTTTTTAAATTCCCTATTGCAATAACACACCAGAACCAAAGTAGTCTAGAAGAAGAAGAAGAAACAGGTACCCACTGATAAAAATTGGCCCCTGCCAATTAATCAGCTAAATCTTAGGTTGATTCATCAACCTATTTCCAACTAGCAGGTCTAATTCTAATGCACATTGAATAGCCAAGCTTATATATGATTATAAATCTACCACTTTAAAAAAAAAAGATCAAATCTGCCATGGTAGGGGCTGAATCCGATTGAGAAGCAGTATTCTGGGAAAGGGTGGTTAACCCTTTCCCCCTGAGCCATTTCTCTGATTTAAATCTACCTCATCCAGAATTGCTGTTTGTCCTGCAAGGGAAAACAGGCAGGTAACCATGGGGTAAATTACTTCAGTTCTCCTTCCCCAGTCTGATTCACACATGCATGCACCCACGCACACGGGAGATTTGATCTGCAAAATACATGACAGAAGTACTGTTTGTGTATCTCTTACATCATGCCTAGTCAAACTATATGTGGCAATTGAAACACAAGAATTGGATCCCCTAAAGGTAAAGGTAAAGGTTCCCTTGCTCGAAGCCAGTCGAGTCCGACTCTAGGGTTGCGGTGCTCATCTCCGTTTCAAAGCCGAAGAGCCAGCGCTGTCCGAAGACGTTTCCGTGGTCATGTGGCTGGCATGACTAAACACAAAGGCGCACGGAACGCTGTTACCTTCCCACCGAGGTGGTCCCTATTTATCTACTTGCAATTTCTTGCTTTCGAACTGCTAGGTTGGCAGGAGCTGGAACTAGAGACGGGAGCTCACTTCGTCATGCGGCAACTCGGGTCTTGAACTGCTGAACTACTGACCTTCCATAGCCTGCAGTTCAGCGTCTTAACCACTTGAGCGACCGCAGCGCCTACTTTTTAATAAAAATGATAGTATTTCAAGACCTTCCAGGCTGCTGCTCCCCCCCCCCCCCCCGGAGGTATCCAGAAGAGATACTGTATTTATATGTTTCTTCCATGAGGCAAACAACCGCTCCAGGAGGGGGGTGATACTGAGATCAGGAAAACAACACAAGTGTGAAAGGTTAGCCACTCTCCTTCCTGCTTTGCAACCCGGAACCCGGTCCCCCTTCACTTTTGTCATGTAAAGCCTTAAACCCTCCCCTGAGCATTGGTTCCCCCCCCCATTATTTTATTTATTTATTTAGATTTATAGGCCGCCCTCCCCGCATGCTGGAGATTTTGATAATGAATCTCATGCTCTATGCCTAGTTTGTCCCTTAGAAAGATTTTAAAAGAGTTAACTTTTAACATATTGTGCAGAGCGTTTTTCCTGCCTAAATATTAGCCTGCGTATGAAACCGTGTTTGGTTAACCCAGTCAACAACACCGCAGCTTTCTTCTGTACCTGGCTGTACTTTCTTTTTTGGGAAAGTTTCCATCCCGGCAACTCTAGAATGGCCTGTAGATTTCATATCTAATCGCTGTGTGCATTAGGCAAAATGTGCACATTGCGCATGGCAGACCCAAAACAGAATTTACATAGTCCCACTCAAGGGTGGGCCTGTGTGCCCCCAGGAAGGCCCACTTCTGTCTATGTGTCTTGGTGGTTGCAATTAAAAGCAAGCTGCGATCCCTTGTACAACTCTTAGAAAAAGGAATTAACTTGAAAGGAGATTATCCTGGGACAGACTGGGGACAAAGCATGTTTTCATAGGGACGGGAATGTCTGAGGTTGATTAACTCTCCATTCGCCCTGGCCTGCAGGTGACACGTTGTTCCAGATGGCTGAAGTTCATCGGCAGATTCAAGTACAGCTGGAGGAAACGGTGAGTCTCTGTCTGAGATGTGGCCCTTCTCTCCCAGTACAAGATTGGCCTGGCTGAAACTGACAGACCATAGTCAGAAGTGTATCCCCATGAACCTGCCTTAGAATGAGTCAGACCACTGATCTATCAAAGTCAATATCGTCTGTTCTGATGGGCAGCAGCCCTCTAGGGTGTCATGCAGAGGTCTTTTACATCATCTGCTACCTGATCTTCCCTTCAGACCCACCTCCCTCCACCCCTGATGTTCTACCACAACAACTTCACTCATCTGAGCAGGGTTTTCTGCAGGTGCCAACTGGCAAATGGGCAAAATCGACAACTGCTTGGAGGGTTTTTTGCCTTCCTCTGGGCATAGAGCACAGGTCACTGGGGAAGTGGGGGGAGCTGTGAATTTCCTGCATAGTGTTTCTGTGCGCAGTCTGTTGTGGCCTCCACCTTATGGAATGGCCTGTCCGGTGAGGTCAAGAAGTCTTCCCCACTCCTGGCTTTCTGCAAACTACTCAAAACTGAACTTTTAGGAGGCTTTTCTGTACAGGTAATAGGGCTGTACTGTAACAAAGTGGCTCGGAAAGATGCTTGGGTAAAGCGTTAGGGACTGTGGTGTTTACTGCCGTGCATCACTCATGCTGCCTGTTGTTTTAGCAAGATCCTATGTCATTTTGACCTCATTTAACACATCATGTTAATATTCAAGCATCGCTTCAGTTCTGATTTCAGATTTCTGGTCATGTTGTCATTTTGACATGTCATTTTGACATCCTTTAATGCATCATGTTAATATTCAAGCATCACTTCAGTTCTAATTTCAGATTTCTGGTTGGTACCACTTTCTACGATCTGAATCCTATCGCATCATTTTAATGGATGTCCCATCCTGTTGATTATATTGACTTACCCTGTGTAATCCACCTTGAGTCCCAGTTAGAACGGCAAACTATAAATAAAATGCAACATAGGCTGGTAGTCCGTCATGTCCCTCGGTCAAGCTGTGGGAGAGAACAGGTGGCAACACTCCCTTGTCTTCCTGACTCTCATCCCTTTTCTTCCTGTTTTCTCTTGTCGCCTCTTCCCAGCTGAAGCTTTTCCAGTCAGAGCTCCTGTCCCAGTTGGAACACAAATTAGAACTGGATATCAAGTATCTGATGGTGAGAGAGATTGATTCACACGCCTCTCTGCTGTGACTTTGATTCTCCCCCCCCCTTCCGTTTATACTCATCCATCCCTCTCTCCATCCATTTTCTCTTCTGAAGTGCGTCCTCTAAGGTTCAATTTGTGCCAGGGCCTTCGCCCCACAATCTGTTCAAGCCCTCGAAAATGTGAAGCAACTAGAAAGGAAAGCGCCTCGCCACCAAGTAGATTGTTGTTCTCAGAATTAAGGAATGTTTTCGTGGCAAACAACATGGCTTCTAGGCAACCTGGAGTTCTGTCTGAGTTAGAAATTAAGCACTGGTTCTATCTCTGTTTATCTGTTTTTCCATTCCTTTTAGTTGCCCATTTGTGGGGGGGGGGGTCAAATTGCCCCACTGAGGCAGGAGTTGCATGTGAGTCTAGCAGTGAGGGACGTAAGTAAAAATGTATTCAGTTTTCATAAAAGGTCCCAGGTGGGTTATGATATATTTTTGAGAGCCAGTTGTTATTGAGATCCAGTTTGGTGTAATGGTTAAGAGAACCGAGTTTGATTCCCCACTCCTCCACATGAAGAAGAAGAAGAAGAAGAGATTGGATTTATACCCCGCCCTTCACTACCCAAAGGTGTCTCAGAGCGGCTTACAAACTCCTTTCCCTTCCCCTCCCCACAACAGACACCCTGTGAGGTAGGTGGGGCTGAGAGAACTCTTGACAGAAACTGCTCTTTTTCAAGAACAGCTGTGCCAGAGCTACGGCTTGCCCAAGGTCATCCAGCCAGGTGCAAGTGGAGGAGTGGGGAATCAAACCCGGTTCTCCCAGATTAGAGTCCACGCACTTAACCACTACACCAAACTGGCTCTCATGCAACTGCTTGTGTGACCTTGGGTCAGTCATAAGCTCTTCCAGAGCTGTTCTCTCAAGGGCAGTTCTCAGGAGAGCTCTCTCAGCCCCACCTACCTCATAGGGTGTCTGTTGTGGGGAGGGGAAGGGAAAGGGATTGTAAGCTGCTCTGAGACTCCTTTGGGTAGTGAAGGGTGGGGTATAAATCCAATCTCTTCTTCTCTTCCCTCTCTTCTTCTTTTTTTCTTGTTTTACCATCACCTGCCGAGGAATATGAAGCTGGGGGATAGTCGGGGCCTGTGAGAGAGCAGGTGTGTGTGGGGCGGTGTGGACACTGTCATTCCCACAAAGTCTACCTCTCTCTGCCTATCTGACCAGCTTCTCCCTCACAAAAAAAGTCTTGCTACCCATGTTTTTAAAAGAGATGGAAATGGAGAACCTCCTACCTGTGCCCTCAATGAGGAAATAAATAGGGCCACCAAATGTTCTCCTGAAGAGAGCTAAAAGTTGGTGTTTGTCCCTGGACGTCACGGCTGGTCAGGGAACCAGTAATCTGTTCTTTATGCTCTGTTGATTCTGTCCAGTGACCTATCATACCAACATGCCTCTGTCCACCTGATTGTTTATCCAAAAGGAAATAAAACTCTACAGCCGTTCTGGGGGCTGGTTTGTGTGTTTACATGGGATGAGGCAAGGGGAACTCCTGACCAGGCCCGTGACTCTTCCTTCCTAGGCTACCCTGAAGAAATACCAAGGTGAGCATCGTGCCAAAGCAGAGTCCATCGAGAAGTGTCAGACAGAGCTGAAGAAACTGCGCAAGAAGTGCCAGAGCAGTAAAAACCCACAGAAGTACGGGGACCGCGAAGTCCAGGTAAGGTCAGTGGTGGAAAGAGGGGAATCTGTCGCCTGCCCATCCCCTGTCAAGGGAAGCGCTCAGGAAAACAAAGGAAATGCCGCAGGCTCCCTCAGGAATGGCGTCACATCCTGCCAGAAACTGACTTGCCAAATACCAGGACCGGCTATCTGGGGAGGAGGTGGGACGGTCGGAATCTCTCCTCACTAGCCACAGATTGTGTTTGTAAATATGTGAAGTCTCCTGATGCAGAGTCGGGCCAAAGAGCTATCTAAGCAAGTACCATCTACCCTGGACAGAAGGACTGTCCCAGCCCTGCATTCCAAGATGTCAAAGCTTCAGCCTGAGACCTCATAAATGCCGAATGTGCAGTCTGACATGGACGTCTGTGATCCTCCTTCCCTGCTGGGACTGAGGGAACTCCCCATATTCTCCAAATAGAACTATTCAGTGAAATATCTATTTTCCCAATAGATGGATTTGTGGCATGGTTATCGCGGTGCTTAAAAAGACACTGCGCTATTACCCAAAACAATATCCCTGTGCCGACTCTCCCCCCTTTCCTCTGCAATGTATAGGGTCCAGAGGTTATTTCGGGGGGGGAACGCGGGGGAACGCAGTTCCCCTGGGTGACGTACGGGGGGCGGGGCACATGACGAAGCCCCGCCCCCTGCTTCCGGCTGCCCCGCTTCCGGCCCTCATTCAGCCAGGAGGAGGCAGGAGAAGAGGGAGCGTAAGTTGCTTCCTCCCTGCCTCTCCCCACCCCTGCCTGCCTGGGGCCAGGGAGGGCCTTCGCGGGGCTTCCTTGCACTCCCGCCAGTCTTGCAGGTCCACCACCGGGCCCCTCATGGGGCTCGGCAGTGGAGATGCAAGGCCAGCGGTGGCGGCCAGGACCGTTGGGGGCGGGGTGGGTGGCCTTATGACACATTTCCGGTGATGTCAGGGGGAGTGGCATATGCTAATGAGTTCCCCTAGCTCTTTTTCTAGGAAATGACCCCTGATAGGGTCACTTACTTCCTCCCCATTCTGATGTTCTCACAAAAATGCATTTCCACCCCTTCCAACGGCAACCAACAGTGTGGAACAAGGATAGGGAAAGGTGTGATATGGTCACAGTCAGTGTTCCCTCTAAGCTGAGTTAGTGTGAGCTAGCTCACAGTTTTTTAGCCTCCGGCTCACACATTTTTGTGTGAGCTCAGGAAGGAGGGCTCCAGAGCAAACTAATTTATGCAGTAGCCAAATTGCTTGCTCACAACTTTAATGCCAGTAGCTCACAGAGTAGGATTTTTGCTCACAAGACTCCACAGCTTAGAGGGAACATTGGTCACAGTCTGAGATCGGTGATCCTGCATTTTATGGGAGAGATACCGCTGGACGCAGGGATGCCATTTATGGTGGCAGCCCTGCATCCGTAAGATGTAGGTCTTGCCCCCTGGGTAGGCTCGTGCCTCTAGATTCATTACTGAACACCGGCTTGCATAAACCATTGAGTCATCGCAGCCAAATCATCACAGATTTTGTACCACCCAGTGTCTGCCAAAACGTACTTTGAATGGGTTGATATTTGTCACTTTAGCCCGGCTTGTCTGTTAAAATGAACCCCACAGAGCAGCTGTCAATACAACACTTAAGTCAACACAAGTAAAAATAGCAAAACAAAATATACCAGCAGTAAAATAGAGCAGGAGGACATTTAGATGGTAAAAGCTGTTGGGAATGGGAGATGGTTTGCCCGTTCAGCTGAGAAACAATAGAGCAGTAGAACATTTAGATGATAAAAGCTGTTGGGAATGGGAGATGGTTTGCCCGTTCAGCTGGGAAACAAACATAAACGTGTACCAGTACCACTGTCTGGCCCTGACCTGGATGGCCTGGGCTAACCCAATCACATCACATCTCGGAAGCAGGGTCTGCCCTGGTTAGTATTTGAATGAGAGACAACCAAGGAAGTCCAGGGTTGCTGCTCAGAAACAGGCAATGCCAAACTACCCATGCTAATCTCTTGCCTTGAAAGCCCTGTGGGGTCGCCGTAAGTCGGCTGTGACTTGAGGGCACATTCCACCAAATAAAAGCCCTTTTCTAATACTGAAACATATCCTCCAACCACTTGGCAGATAGAATACTGGTTTTCTTTGAATTGCTACAAAACATACCGTGTTTTCCCGAAAATAAGACACTGTCTTATATTTATTTTTTCTCAAGAAGACACACTAGGGCTTATACCACAAATGCATAGAAATCCTGCTAGGGCTTATTTTTGGGGTAGGTCTTATTTTCGGGGAAACAGGTTAATAACCACCTTCCTGGCATACACTGCGTTCTGAAATTTGGAAAGATGAATAGCATCTGGGACCTCTGTGCCATTAAGAATGGAGCTCTGTGCCATCGAAATACAGAAATACACAGAGAGAAACGTTGGTCTGGAAGTTTGAGTCGCTGACATTCTTCGCTCGAGCGTGCCCACGGCCTCTGAGTCTAATAGAAGCCGTTAGCTCGTGCTTCCATCTTGCTCCCTGCTATGCATGAGAAGCGACCGTACCAAACAAAACAGGCCAATTTTTTTCAGAGAAGAAATGGCGGAGAGCGTAGGACTCCACAGCCGGAGCTTCCTTCCCTTTTCCTGTGCCAGTCTGGGGGTTGCTGCCTGTTTTGTTCAGATGTCGTCTGGATGCTGGGATTGGGGTCACTAAGAAGTTTATGTCTTTAAAGGGTTTAACATTCTTTGGCCATTTGGTGCCTGGAGAAGTAATCTCTCCAGAGGGGCTACCTGGGTGTTGACAATAACATCTCACACAAATACACACACACATTCCCCTCCTGGCCCATGTACACACTTTCTACACGTACACCCTTAATCACAAGCCCACACACATGCTTACATAGTGTTGCCTGTGCTTTCTTGCCTGCGGCGCACACGTCCACATTGTGTCCGGAGCCTCATCACATGCTTCTCAGCCCGTATCCACGTGCAGAAAATTCTCAGTATTCTCTGAGAAAACTAGACATGACTACGTGCAAACACGCATGTTCAGAACACTGGACGAAAAGGAGTAATGCATTTGCCATCGTGGCATGCACATGATGCATAACTACGCAAACACTGCAGGCATGCACATACAAAGGGCGAAGTTTAAAATATGCAATGCTACACTCACACGTGTAAGCCTACAATAAGTAGACTCCTAAGCAGAGTCCTAAAGAGCAGGCAAAACAGTGCTGTGAGAGGATGGAATTCCAAGCATTAAGAACACGCATGAGTGTACAACTTACATCCAAGTGCCACATGCTCGAGCAGCCATGTGAGCCCATACACACACATGCACACACCACACACTTCTTGGGTTCACTTGGTTTGATGCTGTGTCTCCCCTGTTTACCAACCTCCCTCCCCTTCCCACCCCCAGTCCTGTGAATCCCGGCAGAGGACATTTGGCTCTGGAAAGGCCCCTTTTGTGAACCTTGTTGCCCCGGTAACCATTACTTCAGGATCAAGGCCTGCTCAGGCTAGAGGCCGCAAAGAGGGGGGCCAGTGAGGAGGGGGGGGTACAGGTAACCCTTTGTCTGCTGGATCCTGTTAGATTGCCGCCCCCCAGCCCCTACCTTAATAAGGATATAAAGGTGTACGTGCTCAGAATGGCTTAAGACGCATGAATTAGTTCAGTTTCCCCCTCCATTTATGCTCACCATTGGAGTGATTCAAGAAGAAAACATTGAATTTACCCCTCATTTTTCAACGTTTGCTTTCATGGCTGGAACATAGATTTGTGCCCATGGAACGAAGCAGCGGTCATTTCTTCAGCGTCATTAATGCAGGATAAAAAGGACGTTCGGCAAAAGCGATTCAAGGCTGTAGCGGAAGCCCTTTTCCTGGAACAGCCCGCGTGACCTTTCATTTGCTCGGTGGGCAGAATGAGTCTGTCTCCCCCGTTGCCCCTGCACGACTGTTACATCTGAATACATCTGAATGTTTTAGGGTGACAGTATCACCCTGCGAGCTGTGCGGTCTGTTGAGAATCCTCAGCATTTGGTAGACATCCGATCCAGAATATGAAGAGCAGAATATTTTACCTAATCTGTGGACAAAATTCCAAAATGGGGGAGGAATAAGCCAAACTTGAGGTGTGTGTGCGTCTGTGTGTGTGTGTTTGGGAGTGTGCATGATTAACTTTGAATGCACACTTTTAAAAACTCTGTTGGAGAATGCTCTTACTGCTCTGGGGTTCTGAGGAGAGACCGTGGCTCAGTGGTAGGCCGTGGCATGCAGAAGGATGCTGGCACTGCCCACTTAGGTCATACCGTTGCAGTGCCGAAGTGCCCATTTTGCTCTGCCCAGCGAAGAGACCAACAAGCATCACCAGGTTGCTACGCACGCCCACTTTAACTAGCTTCCTTCAAGAGGCACCTGGACTCCCAGAATTAGGCTGCTGTCTTTAGGTTTTAATAACATTTTATTGTTTAATAACTTTTATTTAATAACATTTATTAACTACTGTGCTTTAATGTTTTAATTATTTTATGTATTATATATGACTGTTGTGACCCACCCTGAGCCCGCTTGCAGGGGAGGGCGGGATAAAAACCAAATAAATAAATAAAGGTTGCAGATTCAATCCCTGTCATCTCCAGTTATAAGGATCAGGTAGAAGGTGTTGGGAAAGAG